GTCCAGTACATTTGCATGCCACCTGCCACACCTCCTCCCCAGAAACAAGCAAGTCTAAAACCTAAAAGAAAAAGCCAAACAAACAAAAAAAGGACAATAAACACTCAACAGAAATCACGGGATGGAATCTGCTGTTCTTCTGTTTTCATTCTTTAAGAACAGTGTTTCCCTATATTTGTGTGCAAGCATTTTAATTGATTTTATTTCTGCTCAGAAGCAGAGTTTATGCCGAAGAAATAGCAAAGCTGACTGCAGAGCTTTCCAATTTCACATCCTCTGATAATTTTTTTTTTAAGTGCTTTGGAGAATGAAATCAGTGAGGGGCCTATGAAATGATGACTCACTTGAACTCATTCAGTGTTTCTCAAGGAAGACTTTCCCAGGCAAGGAGAGTGAGGGGTGGCTTTTGGAAGGACCACTGTGAACACAGCAGGGTACAGCTACAGAACAACGTTCAATCAAACAGTCATTAGAAATGATGACTTGGGGGGAAGCAGTAATAGCCCAGCGGTAGAGCGCATGCTTGGCATGCACAAGGTCCTGGGTTCTGTCCCCAGTACCCCCATAGAGAAAAAGGAAGAAAGAAGTAATGACTTTTAGGCTGTTCCACAAGTCCACATCTTGGCTATGAATCTGAGGTAAAATAACGTAAAAGCCACACACAGCTAAGTCGGGAAGTGCCCCGGGCATGACGTCCTGTCCAACAGCTGGGCCCAGGCCATTGTTCGCTTATAAAGTATCAACACAGTGGCGTCCATTTTCATCTGTCGCTGACTCACATAATTTTGGTCGTGTGATGAAAACTTCTTTGTAGGTATTTTGCAAGGTTTGATGTGAGGCTAGATGACCTTCGCTGGGGCGGACACTGCAAAGGGCCTCCATCCTCACCCCAACTGCTGACTCATTCAGTTCCCGGTTAGACTTCTGAAAAGGAACTGGAAACCAAGCACCAGAAAGCATCTCCAGGAAAGGGTTTTGACACAAATATGATGAAGGCTGAGAACACAGTTAGGAAAGCTTTCCTTATACCAACTGGAGTGTTTTTCCAAGCCAGAGCCTCCCTGGACAATGGGCAACTTTAGAACAGATAGTTATTTTATAAGCTTAAAAGAAATTAAAGACATAAAAATAACTGTAGGGTATATAACATATTTACTGTGTTTTTAAGGCAATTAAGAATCTGAATGTAATGAGAAACACACCAAATGGTCAGAACACCCCCCACCTCTGGATCATTTAAGATTAGGAGCTTTTATTACGCATATGAAACCCAAGGCTAATTACTGAACCGGGTCACTTGAAAAAGTCAACTCTAAACATTAAGGAAACCCACATATATCATCTTGCCACTTGTCAAAGCAAATCATCATCTACGAGAGAAACTAATGAGAACGGGCAGCGTTTTGTCAGGTCACTTCCTAGGGGAGTTCAGGGGACACTCAGCAGACTCAAAAATACACTCCCAGTGAAAAATCAGTATTCACTTCTAAACCTTATAAGGGTGATGCCTGTATTTCACACCTGGTAACACTACCGATCAAATCACGGTGGATCCCGTTCATTCGGCTGCAGAAGAGCCCCGCTAACAAGAGACCCCCTCCTGGCTGAGTGTGTCCAACCACAGAGTGGTGTGGAACTGAAGACTTCCATCTCTAGCCAGAAGAGCAGCAACAAAAGCAGCTTCTAGAGAAGAACTGAAAATTCAGAGAAATAAAGTGACCTTCTTATTAACCTCAGGAAGCAGGACTAGAACCCGGGTCTCCGGCTCTCGTCCCAGTGGCTCCTGAAATCGGTTCATCTAGGGACTCACCCAACACCAGTTCCTCCCCAGGTAACTTGGACTGTTCCCCTGGGGGGTTACTTCAAACTATCGCTTCTCTTTCTCCTTCCTGTGGGAAGAAGCCAGCCCACGACAAGGAGGCCGTGCATGCTGACACTCTCAGGCATGAAGAAGGTGCTTACTAACCAGACAAGAGGATTTGGAGTTAAACACATGTAATACACACATGGTGGCAACTCGAAGATACCCGTATTGTTCTCTCTCTCCAAGGGAGGGGACAGTCCGAAGCGTGACGCGCATACATGTGAATTCAGGTACTTTCCATGGCGCCACCTGGGGTAGTTACTGCTTTAAGTAGGGTGTGACTCTGTGTGCACGTGGGAGGGGTTGTTTGATGTGGAAAGTGGTGGCTTTCAAAAATCTCTTCATTGTTCTGGAGCCCTGGGATTCCTGAAGAGGCGATGGAAAGTCAACATCAACTTTTAAACTTTTAGAAATTTGTGCTTCTCACCCTTCCTTTCCGCTCCAGGAAAAGCTGTCCATCAACTGGCTTTGCCATAGGGTGGGTGGGAAATTGGTGCCTGCATTTTCCCAATGTCTGAAGTGTCTTCCTATGTCTGGGACACGGCAGGGCTCTTTCAGCTCTCTGCTGAGCCTTCCTGGGCTTCAGGCAGACCCCTCGGCCCTGGGCCCTTTCCCTGGCCTGTGACAATCAGTCAACCAGTGGCATTCAAACTGGAACCCTCAACTCGACTTTTAAGAGCGCTTCTTTCATCCCAGACCACCACATGCTCCTGCCTTTAAACCACAACTCCAGGAGGGTGCGAAAGGCCGGCGTAGCTCACCACCTTGTGCCAGGGCACCTGCTCCTGAACCCGACAGTGAGTTTTGAGGGGAGGATAAATGAGCGATGCCATTATTGTGTGGATTCAGACGATAATTATAAATTAAGTTGCTCTTCTAAATACAAACCTGTCGTGTGTGGATAGCAAGTCGTTATTAAATGCTCACTGCATTGAACACAGAGATGCTGACTAACCACGTGTTTACCTGCACTGCTTGCGTATGGTTTCAGACTAAACCCGCAACGTTTGCTGAAATCCAGCTTGCGCCCAGTGGAAACTTGGGCTCAACAAAGCCATCTTTATGAAGTCATAAACTAAGGGAAGAGGAGAGACCCTGGGTCTGTTGGCTTATTTCCACGAAGAGCCAGGTGGAAGGCTGGGCTCCAGGCACTGTGCTGCTGACAAACACTTAACACGGAGGAACCTCTAATGCCCAGGGTACCTGCTCTCCAGGGACCCCCATGTTCCTTCTCCCACCCTACCCAGGGGCCTTGGCCTCTGTAATGAATTCAGCATTGGGTTCAGCGCCCTATAAATGGTGTGCTACACGTTAGCACCCTGGTAAGCAGTCTTACTTTAAAAAGTCTTTCCTTTTTTTTTTTTGAATACACTGTTATGCTTCCAAAAGCTTAAGGTTTTCATTTATTTTACCTAATAACTATTTTACATTTTCAAAGATTCCTCTTATTTTGTATGCTTTATCACCCACCTGCTTATCTCTTCCCTCAAAATGCTTTTATTTTCATGGCATGATGACTGTTCTCTGACATCTATAATTCACCACTTTCCCTTCTCCTTTGCTACTTATCTTGCTAAGCCACTTTCCACGCAGCAAGCTGGCTTAAAAATAGGCTTGCAATCTCTGTGGCATTTCAGATTCACAGCAAAGGACAGGAATGACACAGCTATGACTATCTTTGTTTTAATTACTAATGAATGGAGGGAAAAATAGAAAATAGTATATTATTGAGTACTTAGTAAGTATTCAATGAATTATTGATTGTGTACTCTCCAGAGCAGCGAGGAGGTGCAGAAAGCCAGAGTTTCAATCTGATCACCAGAGACAGCAGAGCACGCCCAGCGGACAGCGGCTCAGCACCTCCGACGACGACCTGGAGCCCGTCGGGACCAGGGAGTGGAGACGCCAATCCCAGAAACAGAGAAAAACTCTTTCATTGCTTCGGTGACGGCAACAGCGATTTCAGTCACCCAGACTGCACTCTGACAAACCCTGGGCCTGGAACAGTCCTAGCTCCGTGCCAGCACGTGGCCTGCACCTAACAGGCACAGGCACAGTCTGGTTTCACAGCCTCGGGTGTGGACACTAGCTCAGATATGACCTGAAGGATACATGGTATCTGTTCCTAAAACAACGTGCCAAATGATTATGTAGATAGAAGAGAAAGTAATTCATTGAACAAACTCAAATTTTCTCTTATTCTTCTAAATCTGGTTTTAATATGCCCACGGACAGCTGTGTTTGGCAGTAACCCTCAACCTTCCAACCTATGAGCTCCATGAGGACTGGGTACCATTTTACCATCTTGTTCACTGTTGAATCCCTAGCACTTATGCACAGTTTCTGGCACAGAGTAAATACTAAATGAATGAATGGATGGATGGATGGATGGATGGATGGATGGATTAATTAATGAGTGGAGAGAGAAGTCATCACACAAGATTTACCTATCAAAATCTGACCAATGGTTCTTAAAAATGGTTTTGTCAGTAAAAATGCTGAGTATATTCATATACATCCACTTATTTCAATACTCCAAAAACTCTAGGAGGCTTCTTCTCTTTGCGTATTTATATTAATGAGTACTATTAGTACCGGGTCCCTCATTCAGTTAAGGTTTCTTTAAAAAAAAAAAAAAAGGACAATTTTCAGCAAAGATTCCCACCAAATTATTTGCCACAATAATAACTTTAAGGAAACAAAAGTTGATACAAACCTATTTAGCTTATTCTATGTCTATAAAATAAAGGAATAGAATTATACTTACATATAATGTAATAATCTCTGTTCTTCTGAAATTCTAGACCCCAGAGGTTAGGGCTGAATTCTTGGAACTTGATGGTGAATTTCACATCCTGGTCGGGTCTGGCACAGTTGAGGAGAGGGGTGTTTTCTTTCTTAATAGTACATCTGTCTGCTTGGTCTTTATCAACCATATAAACTTTATAATATTCATACTGGCCAACAGTTTTAGAGTCCACTTTGGGGCAAATAATATCCAATTTGTCTCCTATCTGTGGATACAGTACCAGTCCTTGTCCAGGTAGAAATCTAAAAGTATAAAAAAAAACACCATTGAGTTGATAAAAATGAACAGTATTCATGATAATGACAGTACAGCCAGACAACATCAATAATTTCAACCTACAGTTTTATAGACCCACACTTTTATTTATCAAAAGTAACTTAGTTCAGATCGGCATGGGGTGAAAGAATTTAGGAATTATGCTTTAGAGGAAAAAAAAAAAAAGCAAGAGAGGGAGAAAGAAACCACTCTCCTTACTCCATCCAGTAGGATCAGTCAACTTGCTGACAGTTCACCACCCCCTCGCTTGTAATACTTCAGTTCTCCTTTGTGTAACTTCACACAGTAACTTCTCCTTGGAGGGGAGTCCGCCTTCCCACCTGTTTGTTATTTTTTAACCGTTGGCAGCCTGGGTTTACTGGGCATGCCACAGAAGGACGGCCTCAGCTCCGGGAACAGTGGGTGCACTGATTCTTTGTTGTCTTGTTAGTTTCCATTTGCTGCTGATGCTAATTAACAGACAAGTTTCATCAAGAATGTTTCAAATTACTTATCATAATTAGTCAGTCACTGATCAAACAATGGGTTTTTTATTACACTGAACAAAAGAAGCGTCTTACAAACCCATAAAAGATAACCAGAAATAATTAGCTGAGGTATTGATTCAGCTGCAAGATGAAAAGTCCCTGACTCAGGAGGACAGCAACCACTGTCCTTGCCCCACAAACCTTTTCTTCCCCCTCCCTTGAGATGTATTTTCTCCAATTAATTCGTAGAAGCAAATCTTCACAACTAAAACTACGGATACACTACCCCCCTGATGCTTACAGCTTAATGCCTCCCTCCACCCCTCTCTTTCTTCCGAGCCACGCTGCTGAAAGATCTTTCTTAATGGGGAGCTTCTCTGAGGAACTGAAACAAGAGCTTCCTAATGAACATCCTCTACAAGTGCTAACACTAAAAACACACTTAGAAATCGCATCTTGTTCTTTCCTTCGGAAGCAGCCAAGCCTGCAGGCTCATTAAAATATTAAAGCCCGAGAACAAAGCATCACGTCGGAACCCTTCCAATCCAACCTTCTGTTTAACCAAGGGACGCCCACCGGCCACGACGATTAATGGATGATAATTCACTGAGAGAGAAAAAACAGGACGGTGAGGCACCCCCAATTTCAAATCGATACTGAGGGAACAGATGATGACTTATGCTAATGAATGGTATGAATTTTCTGAACAGTACATGAGGTTGGTTATGAAATATCACAGAACACAACAGAAACTACGTTATAGGTTTATATCAAAACCCAGTACTTTTTAGGGCAGGAAAAAAATGCACGTTGCAGACAGTGGCTCGTCACTCTTCCCTGAAAACGTGGTCTTTCAAAATCCCAGAGGGAGGGTGGTCCCCCTTTCTTTCCTCTTTTTTGTTTTTTTTAACTGAGCTTGCTAAAAAGCAAGGACATATGACATTTATTTTTAAAAAAGAGGGGAGGGGTGGAGAAAAGAAATAAGTGGAAGAGAATCACCTAACCAAATACTGTGAAGCAGAATTCAAAATAAATATTTTTTATTACTATGACAAATTTCATACAGTCATGTGTGCACCCTCGTAGAACTCTCTGGAACTGTTGGTCAATGTAGCTCGCCACTGAGCAAGAACCTCTCTGTGACCTTCTTGGCCATTTCTACAGTCTTCTGCGGAAGTGCTTTGAAAGTTCAGCTCCAGCCCAGGGCTGTCCCCCACGTCCCGAGGCCCAGTGTAGTCTCTCGAGTCCATGTTCTCTGCGGATGAAACACTGCTCCGGCTTCCGGTGGACAGACTGAAGGACTCAGTCCGAGTATTTGTGGATGAGGCCCTTCAGTCTTTACCCCTGTGCCCCACGGTGATTCTGATGTGGTTGAGAAGTGGGGGCAAGAAGCCCGGCAGTGAGGGTACCACATCGCTCACCTTCCTGACACATCCTTTTTCTCATCTCTTACTCCTCCATCTTAAGAAATCTTCATTGCATCCCAGAACCAGAGACCAACTCCTGCCCGGGGTTCCCCACTCCACTCCAAACATTTTCTATTCTAAACCTGCTCCTTTAGTAGCTGGCACAGAGTGAGTGCCCCGCATTAGCCACTGTTAAAAGGATTCCTAAATCACAACTGAAGTCTGCAGCCGGGCACTGGTACCTGCCTCCTCTCAGCTCTGATCTTCACCCTGAGCGACTCTGGCCACGGACCACCTTCCCCGAGGGTCTGCCCAGGCTTCAGACATCTGGACCCTCAGCAGACAGATGGACTCATCTTCCTGTCCATCCGTTCAATTCCTTTAAGAAAATACATCAGGCCTCCCCCGCCCCCAAGCTGCAGATCATCTCTGCACATCTCAGAACTCTCCCACATCACACCTACGTCTCAAGTCTGGCTCACCCAGCTCCTTCTTCATTCAAAATGCTACCAAGATCCTGTTTCCTTCATGAAGATTATTCTTTCCTGCTTCACCAAGACTCTCTGTGGATTTCCTCCCTGCCCAAGAAAGAGCCTCCTCGTGACTCCCTCTTCACTCACCAAATCCAAGTTCTAGTTTTTGCTGGTGCTGATGGGGTGAAGTGAAGACCATTGGGCACATGGGCTGGTTTGGCTAGAAGGCTCTCCATGGTTCAGACCATATTTTCCGAAGGTACAAACCACATAAAAAGCTTTACTGGTCGGTGATGTGGGAGCCACGTATGGGGAGAGACTAACCCAAGGGATGTCTTATCAGAATGAAAGGGAAGGGGCGGAATCGCTAATTTCAACAAGCACGTTTGATATGCCCTTGAAGAGTAAATTCTGACAAAACCCACTATTCCTAATGCTTCCAAAAGCATCAGTTCACTTTTCAGAATACACTGCGGCGAAGAGTAAGGCAAGGATTTGATCCTTTACTCTGAAAAATGGTTTCAAGAGTTCCTAAACAAACACACACACACTGCTGCTTCTTTATTTAAATCCATACAAAAGGACCCAGTACTTGAGTGCTTTAGAGGTTTACTTTTTAAGCATACATGGGCACATAGCTACACAGACCGGTTAGCACAGCAGTCTCTTTAATTGATGAGATTATGGTTTCTCTGGAGACAAAGGTTGAGGCTGAGCCGAGAGCCCAAATCACGGGTTTCCCACAGACGTTACAACTAGGTGCATCGAACCCAGAAGTCCCTTTGCCTCTCAGGAGACTCCACAGTTTTTTTTTTAATTGAGCTGTAGTTGATCTACAATATAATATTAGTTTCAGGTGTACAACATAGTGATGCAAAATTTTACAGTTCTACTCCATTTATAGTTATTATAAAATTCTGGCTGTATTCCCTGTGCTGGACAATACACCCTCGCAGCGTATTTATTTCCTACATAGAGGTTTGTCCCTCTTAATCCCCTGTCCCTATGTGGCCCCTCCCCCTCCCCTCTCCCCACCGGGAACCAGTCGTTTGTTCTCTACATCTGTGAGCCTGTTTTTTCCTTGTCATATTCACTAGTTTGTTGATTTTTCAGATTCCACATATAAGCGATAACATACAGTATTTGTCTTTCTCTTGACTTATTTCACAAAGCCTCATGGCCTCCAGGCCCATCCACGTGCCTTTACAGTTTCTAAGGCAACATGGGAGCAAAGAGAGTAATTACCGTGAGCGTAACAACTAAGGCAGCCGCGTTCGTGCCAGACGCTCTGAGTGACAGACGAGCAGAGGACTCTGATCGCCAGAGCTACAGTCTAGCTTCCTGAGGGCAGGCGGGTCCCATGCGTGGTTGATTCAACACCGAGTGCCCAAGGGCTGGCATCTGGTAGATGCTCGATGAATAATGTGTTCTTTGGAAAAAACATGAAAGGACAAATGGCAGCTGAGACACACACATAAATTTAAGTCAAATTAAGTGCCACAAACTAATTTGCAGATCAGAGGCATGGAGGGAATTCTGAAGTCAGGACGACCCGGAGTGGGGACAGGGGTGTGCCGAGAGCGGAGTGGCCTGCCCCCGGCACCATGGCACTTCCGGACAGCAGGGAGCGGTGCAGATGGGGTTTTGGACCCGTTTTCTCTGGATTTATGAGTGTCAGCGGTTTTCTGCCATCCCTAGTTAAAATGCAAGGCCATGTACCACCCCTAGAAGCTCTAACACCAGAAGCACCGCTGCTTTCAAGAACTTACTCTTTGCTAAGCACTGATCAAAGCACCTTCCACCACACGGTCTTGTTCTGTCACCGCACACGAACGTAACACGCAAAACAGATGAAGACGCACTGTGCCAAACCCAAGTTGGACAGGAAAAGCCCCTTTCCCTGCACACTTCCCAGTTCTCACTGCATCACATTACAGCATAAATCTGGTTTGGGGAAACGCATCTCTTCCTAAATTGAGCTCTTCAGAGATAAGCCATGAAGTTGAGGCAAATCAAGAGAAAGAAAGTCAATCCATACACAGGCATGAGAGCATCACAAGGGCGGCCATCTGGTACGCCTGCGGTGCCCTAGGAGGCCAGGAACCACAGGGTGAGGGAGAGACTGACCACACATGGGCTTGTGTTTTAAATATGATATTACAGATGGACTCTAGACAATTTATGAGAACCGCAGAATGTATGCGAAAAGAAAACGGGATGAATTTCTTAACAATATCATTTTCGAATGGAAAACAGTATGTCTGAGAGGTTAAAATCAAATCAGTGACCACAGAGTTCAATTTCTGAAGCCAGGTCACTTTTACGTGAATTCTGTTACCTCAAGATTGCTCACAGATCTTTACAAGTCAGACCACACAGCACACCTATGCCTTGAAAGTTCGGTAACAGTCAATAATGTATGTGTCCTATTGTTGACTTCGGAATTTATTTTTTTTTTAAGAATAATTATGGTGGTGACAACTAGCTAATTTTAAATGACTACCCTGACTCTGCACAGTGAATATCAAATGCAGATTTCTTTTTTGGGTGACGAGACGACGTCCACTTTGCAGCCAAAGACGCACAGAGGAAAATCCCCATGTTTGTAATTCACACCACAGAGGGAAGGCTGTTTTTGTTAAACTATATCCAAAAAGAAAGTGGTTAGAGCTCTTATTTACTAACATC